ATGGGCTAGTTTCAGCTTGATCTTTAATGTGACCAGGTTGAATGCAAAATCTGCTGATGAGAACCAGTTAGCTATTATCAAAACGTGCCCGAAGCCTCGACGCGAACATCGGGCCCAGTAATCTAACGACAGTCACACAGCCTGCTAGTGGCTGCGCTTAAGGTTTCGTATATGGGTTTATGATAGAAAATTGATCCGTGAATCCGAAACTGGCAATGTATGCAAGGCAAGCCGAGCTCTACTTAGCACAAAACCAAAATTTTATCTTTCTCCAAGACATAAAATGTGTTGTGCTAGACGTACTGAGGCCACAAAATTACTACAACCCAACACAGCCAAGGCTCTGAGCACAGAAACCTAGTCTCGTAATAAAAACCAATCTTTCTCCAAGACATAAAATGTGTTGTGCTAGACGTACTGAGGCCACAAAATTACTACAACTCAACACAGCCAAGGCTCTGAGCACAGAAATCTAGTCTCGTAATAAAAACCAGAGACGAAAGAGACGGTAATATAAAATGGTCTCTATTGAAGTTCTTATTCCAAGAAGCAGTCGAAAATGGCACCGCAAGGACGGAATCGGCACAAGGATCTTACATTTGTCTGTCCATACAAGTTACGCTATAATCTACGAGATCGACGCCGGTGCCATGGCTTTTACTAAGTGACTGAGTAGACCTGGGGATACAGGGACCAGGGCAGGATTTCCAAGTAGGGTCTTCGAAAGGTACTTGCGTATTATAGCGACCTACTTAAATGTTTAAGTAGGTTGAATTATCAATAATCTTCCAGTTTTCTACACGCCATCAGTCAATACAGCAGGGATTGGATGATGGCATTGAACTGCAGAGCGGCCCTCCGAAGGTCACCGCATACGATAACCGCTTAAGTAAGTATAATAAGCGAAATTAGTCTTTTTAATTAACCACGGGAATAACCGCTTACTTACAAATTTCAAGTAGGGCGATTTCCACAATCTTCCTACTTTCTTACTTCATTAACTTTTTTTTCTAGTTGGTGTTGGTGGTTCCACTGGAAAATGTACCTCAGTGACCTCGCCCGGGATTAGAGCACATTCCCCCTACATACACGCGTTCGCCGTTGATGATATTAAAGTCCATTTCAGTGTCTTCTCCCAAGGTCTGAGTACGCGACCCAAATTGTCCTCGTAACTTTTTTATTTTACAGAAATATTGCAATCTAATTTGTTCCCTGACATGCCCCGCCCGTTCTCTCCCCTAAAATCAGGTGCACGTGAGCCTGGGGGGCGCGCTTCACACGTTCCCTAGGCGGCCCCACAAGGAATCCCTACCAAGACCAGTTCTGACAACTAGGTCTACACACCGAACTTACTCATCGTCTCTATGATAGACAGTAGAGCTGGACACTGCACCAGCTGAAGCCCCGACGGTATCCTGCAATGTCTGGCTGGCTACGTGCAAGCGACGTGGAGATGAGGGCATGTGGAAAGTAGCAATGCCAGCTGACTAGCCAAAGGGAACAATTTTTCTTTAGGAACGTAGTTTAACTTAACATCGTAATTGCACGAGCAGAAAACAACTTTCGAAGCAGCTGTTAAGAAAGAGCCCGATGACATTTTTAAAAAGGAACAAGTTCTGTCAATAATAGTCATATGATGTCGAAGTCCTATTTAGAAGCCGAACATTTAAAATTAAAAAAAAA